TGCCTTTCAGCTGTCATCAACTAAATTTCACACTTAAAACTACCTGCGATAGTTGTTTGCACTTTCCAGGTTTGCCAGGTCTTTCAGCAGTTCGTTCTGCGGTTTGGCTTGTTTGTGCTTCTTTAACAGTTCGCATTTTTTGTTGTAGTAGAGTAGTTGTAGGGTTTATGATATAGCCGCTTCAAAATGGGTGAGTTTCTTCCTTTTTAAAAATAAATAGCGGTTAGCCGGTCACGAATACTTGAATAAAATGTGGTTAATCACTTATAACTCCCTCGTGATTATCTTTTTTCATGAGGTGAGAAAATCATTCACATTATAATACCGTTGTCTTATCCTTATCAGTTTTTTATCATTTACACTAAAGTGAACAATCTATATCATTCAACACGCACATTTGTGTAATAGCTGATATATCCTAGTTTACTAGACTTAAGTTGAATATCGTTAAGATTTCTAGACAGTCAAGTTTGAACCTATGTGGTATCAAAATTCCTGGTTTCTTAAATTTTCATATCGTATGACTGTCATGACTGTTCTCTTTTTCTTCCAACTGCCAGCCACTTAGCCAGAACCACGGCTCGATTATTATACCTCATCATGCTTCAACACTGAGGAATTATAACGGTCATTAATAAATATCACCATACGGTCAGAACACGACATGTGAAGCGGTGATTGTGCCGATAACATGATACCGCTCAAAGACCAAGAGCAAAGGACCTCCGAAACACCATTGTCCTTAGTCGTACATATATAAAGTTAGTTAGATAAAAGAATGAGGTCCTAAAATGGTGCCATCTTGAACAACTCTCAGAGTTCTTACGGACACTGCCGCCCCGCGCCGATATTTTCAAACTTTCTGTAACCGCTCTTCAACCTCAGAAATTTGAGATGTGGTCCGGAGCTTTTGAAATCTTATTTCGCATAACTCACCCGGTCACTCGGTCAGGATTCGTTGGTGATTTGCCCGGATTAAATCTGCCCTCATTTCGCATGCTGCCATTCCTGTCATACCTTGGATTATCGCTCAGGTCGACCAATATGTTTGTTTGTTTTGTTCTTGTTGACCTTGGGCCAGATCTATAATACAAGTCAAGAAGTCGTAGTATTCCTGTCCCGGTATGTCACAGTAATAACGAGACTGTAATTGAAAGAGTAGATGTACACCCTGGTCATCATGGCATGACATGGGTTCAATGTTCATTAAATCATCTAGCGTGGTAGGTAACGACGATGACGCGTCCCACCTCCCTGCCCCTACAATCCGTGCCACTCTGCTGGCTTTTGATTGGTGTGCGAACTTAATACGATGATTTGATTGGTCCACAGAGAATGGGCATTGTGGTCCGAGCCCCCCAATAGAGATGAAGCATATGTGTGATGTTATAGAGAACATGTTCCCCCCGTCACATAAACTGTACTTCTTTAACTTTCACAACTTCATCCGATATATTCGCCCCTCCTATTTTTACCAGTGATCACAACATCTGCACAATAGGTTCTATTTTAACACCTGAATTCTGCAGCCGTTTTCTGAAGCACTTTGAGTGACAGATATGCACCGTTCCTCCTTCTCACGGAGATCAAATTAGTATTGTTCTTCTTTTAAATTAAGAAGTTCCTACGTCCTGCAGATTTAGAGGCGTTATCGTGGGACGGTCACTAATCCCTTGACAGTGTCTCCCACCTTATCAGTAAATAGAGTGGGTTATTATTCAGGAGCCTAGCTTATAATATATATGAGGGACCACATGCAAAACTGGTATATCTGAACATATACCAATTTTGCGCAGGTAGCTCATAGTCTTCAGGGTGGAAAGGTGCATCTTTGGAACTTTTTTTGAACAATTTTGAAGAAATTTTTGAAAAAAAGTGAAATTTTATTTTTCCAAAACTGGTATATGTTACAATATACCATTTTAGCTTTTAACAATCATGAAAACAAAATGGTATATCTGCAGATAGACCACCTTCAAGAAACTTATCTTCTATAAAACCGGTATATCTATACACATTTTATAGACTTTAGCCAGCCCAAATGGTATATCTTCAGATATACCATTCTCAGTTAAATTATTTTATTGTTTATAGTATAGAAAAAATGGTATATCGTGAGATATACCAGTTTTGGTACAATTCTAGTTTTAAAAATGGTATATAGACAGATATACCATTTTTTAGAAGTGTTTTTTACACATGATATAGAATCTTTAAATCAGTAAAATGCATTTATCTCAAAACTATCAAAAACAGATATACCAGTTTTGCATGTGGTCCCTCATATATAGTATTTTAACAAGCCCGTCCTTTCAAAATGTGGTACACGCCCGTATGACGGCATGTTGTTATAGGTGTACCTTTGAGTCTCTCTCTCTCTCTCTCTCTCTCTTTCTCTGGCAGACATTTAAGGCCGAAGAATTTGAATAATTTCGCCGTAATTAAAGGATAAGTTATTATCATGTGGACACTTTGATACGTCATGTTCTGTGTGTGTCCGGACGTGAAATGTCTGCCTGCATTCTTTGATCAAATAGAGATCAATTACATGTATCACATTCCGATTGTGTTTCGTGACAGTCTCCGTCATAGTTTGGAGTCAGTACATTTTGTTTGAGCTAAGTACTCTGATACACCCTTCTTCGTTTGTTATTCTTGGATACTGTGTGGAGTATCTTGTTAGGCTGTATATGTGGAGTTGTTTTGTATTTTTAGTGCTTTTATAGGGTGTGTAGTGTAAACATGCCTTAACATGTAATTCAAATTGAGATTTAATTGTAATTCAAATTGAGATTTTGTTGCCTCATCGAAAGTTTTCAATTACCATTTAATCGTTCAGTTTTTTGTTTTGTTCTCAGGTTTAATTTATATCTACTCACAGAGCATGCCCGTAGTCAGCGTAGTGACTATAGTGCCTCACTATAGCACAATGAATTCACATGACACTATACGTCACACCACGTGGTACTACGTCACACCACGTCGGTACTACGTCACACCACCATGGTACTACGTCACACCACGTCGGTACTACGTCACACCACGTGGTACTACGTCACACCACGTGAATATTACAGTCAGCAGAAGGAAAGCCGTATGTGACACCCCGAGTCTGGGGTCATGACAAAATGTGACCATGTTCTGACGTACCCTGACCAAACATCCCAAACATAGCATACCCTGAATTATTAACATTCCAACCAAAACCTAACAATGAGACTCTCCTGTCACAGTTAAGACCACCTTATCCCTGTCCTGTCCAACCCATAATCATCCATGCATAGTTGTTAAAACCTAACATTCTCTCACTCTAAAAGCATCGGCTGCCTGTGACCTGTGCCCCTGTTCATTTATCTATGACTTTCTAGAATGGGAGCGAGCACTCTGAGTGATGCAACATATCACTCACTTCCACAGTATATCATTTCAATAACCCCTATGATTTTATTAATTACATAATGCCTGGTATTTAGAACGTCCACATCATGTCGTAACACCGTCAGTACACTTTACTAGGATATTATTCTGGTATACTGCCTACTGTTTATTGTTCTTGGTTAGCTGCCTGTCAAAAAGAAGGTTTTTTTTGTGAAATTTTAGTGTTTCGTATTTTCCAAACTTTGCTGAAAGTACAAGAGGCGAAAGAAATTTCATACTTCTGGAATCTTTCGGATCCGAAAATATTGCTTGTCTCCGAATTTCTTATTGTTTAAAAATATTCATAACGTGCCCTAGATGATCAAATCTTTTGTTTATCTCACTCTAGTTAAAATACATTATGGTAATAACTTAACCTGATCAGTGATCAACTTCATAATTGGGCAGATCAAATTTGTAACCTTACCGTAAGTCAGTAGCTGTACTGAGAAGTAAATTGTTGCCCGTAAAAGTTTGTAAATTTGCCATCTGTAAAAGGTTTGCAGGCTCTAGGATCAAGTGTCCGCACTGGTCAAGTGTCCTCACTGGTATGATTCAAAGGTCCACACTTATTGTTCAAATATTTTCCTCAGACCGGATTCCTGTTCATGATTTCACTGCCTAGCTTACTTCCGGTCAAACCTGGTTGTGGTCCGGAAATAAAATGCTGTGCATTCCTCTTTGAGATCATAAATACTATCGGCATATTTTAACCTATATCTACGTGTAAACTATAAACTCACACGTTTTTACTACTAGCCGTCAAATTGGCCCGTTTACACAAAACACATTTACAGCGTAAATGTGTTATGTATAATCGCACCTTTATACTTTTATAGACTGTAATTGGATTTCACATTTCCAATCCGCCCTAACCCCGCCAATATTCATAGCTCTGTTTTCATATTGCTGTTAGATCTGATTTCGTCTTCACATTCGCTCAGTTTATCGTAATCAGCAATCTGTGCATCTTTCTTGAGCAATAGACATTCTCGTCATCTTTTTAAGTGATAACTCATCCAACTTACCCTAGTAGAGGTAAAGTAGTGGTTAAGTTCATGCTGTTCTTCTAATATTTTGCCAATCAAAAAAATATCAAATACTGAAATAGGCTTGTATTTACATTGCATCACTATTTGTCGCGATATATTTCTTTGTAGTCTGTAAAAATAGGAAATCTTCGGTGCCTTCGTCTTAATTGTTGGTCGGCGTTCCTTTATTTAATCTTAGCAAATCCTTTTCATTTCGCCGTCAGGTCAATCAAGATTTAAAGTTACAGGCCTATTTTTACATCATATTATCGTTATGTCATTTCTGTCCACCCTCTAAGCCATTTTTCTATGTCGTTTTGTTGCAATTTTATAAATATTACTAATAGATATTTAGGTACTTTGTATTGCTATATGATTACACATATAACAGTTATTCAACTCTACTTTTGGTATACAGGTCCTGCCGTCTTCTTATCGTAATATGTGAATGAAATGTTGTTAATTATGCGAATTTAAATTCCTAAATTCTTCATTTTGAACCTAGCAACGGGCTCTTATCTGTTATTGTTTCCAGTTAATTCATATTTCTATTTTTAGGGTCTTTGAAACCATTTCTAGACAGCTCACGACTCCAACTTTTAAAAAATGGGGAAAATCGCGGAAATTCCGTCTTTTTTAGTGCTGTCATAAACGTTCCGTGATCAGAGTGGCGCCCTTTCAGCATTTCAAGGATATTGTTACAGAAGTTGGCAGAAACTGATAATTGTATTGCCGTGTCGTAATTATTTCACGACCTGTGTGTGTTTATTTGATATGTTAGGGGTAAAATAATCCCTTTCGCCCTTTTCCTGGCTTGCAGAATTCGATGAGTTGGTTGATTTTGCCTCTTCAACTAAGGAACTTGAGTGTTAATCTTATCTTTTAGTTTTTAATGATGAGAGAGTTCCACCAACCTGCAGTCCAGCCTTGCTACTCACCTTGACTGCTACCTTTATATCCCCTCTACAACACCTTTACAACACCTTTACTACACTTCTATATCCCCTCTACAACACCTTTCCTACACCTTTACTACACCTCTATAATCTATATCCCCTCTACAACACCTTTCCTACACATAAAACACTATGACGACCACCCCAAAGAAGAAGAAGTTTGTGATGTACAACACAGACGAAACAAAAGAAGAGACCCCCAACAACTCCCAGTTCAAGAGAGATCTCCGCAGTGACGCGGGTAGTGTCATCAGAGCTAGTCTGAGGAAGAGGAAAATGAAACGAGGGAACTCTCATGCTGAGATTACGGTCTCTCAGACCACGGCTCATGTTAATGGTTGGTGACCCCTGAGGTTTTGTGAGTGCTACAGTCAGTCAGTACCACAGTCAGTGAGTGCTACAGTCAGCGAGTGTGAAAAAGTGAGTGCTACAGTCAGTGAGTGCTACAGTCAGCGAGTGCTACAGTCAGTGAATGTGAGAAAGTGGGCGTGAAAAAGTGATTAAGTCTGCTGAAAGTTCAGGTCGGTGTGTCTTACGAGTTTCGAGTGCTGAAAAAGTAGAGTTGATCTACGATACTGGGCGAGAGAGTGTTTAAGATATGAACCCCTCAAGATACTGCCCCGAATTAGCACTAACAACTTACCATTGAGGATTACAATATTTTCCATCAATCTGATCAACAAAACTACTAATAATGCTGTTACACTACTGACTATATAAACGTAGTGTTAACTAAATAAAGGGATAACAAACTGTTGCGGCTGTCTGACAGTGTCAAATCCCTATAATTCTCCCGGGCCTCCCACCAGCTGTATATTATACAGTATACCATGTATAATATACACTGTCCAATCTCTAGCAGTGTTATTAGCTGGTTTGTTCCTGTCAAACGGTTGCTTCTAGTTTCTTGTAGTGACACACTCTGTGTTGTTCGTAAGGTAGTTTTAGTCATCATGGTTATAATACTGGAGCAGGCCCCTGATGGTAAATATTCAACTTTCCCAGTTTCTTGATGATATGTTCTAAAATCTTGTTTTCGTGCGTATGATTTCCACGAATTCAAATTGCAACTGTATTATTAGAGACGAACAATCTAAGTTTAGTGGTACTTATGCTTACGGTCAAAATCAAAGTTTATATCTGTCGTCTCCACTTAACAGTTAACACCCACCAATCACCACCACGGGATACCCAATATCCTCACTGATGCAACTCCTGCACTGTAATATTATGCTTACGTCTCAGAGGGTAATGTAAATTCGAAGATTCCTGATTTCAGAGTTAACCCGACTATTTAGAGCTATTTATAGCACAGTCAGTCAACTTCATCCCGCCTTCATGTGACGTCACGAAACCACGTGGTCTCAAGCTCATTCCTCCCGCCGGCCTTTCGGGAAGGATTATACGTAAAATCTAGTACTAATATTATGACGCTTAACAAGGAAAAAACCAAGTGATAATTTACGTGAGTTGTGAATAGTTAAACATTTTCATGAGGTTTGAACAAGAAATGTATTGCAGTAGTAGTAGTAAGACCATTAGTATTAGTAACTCACATGTTCTTCGCTATATTGTAACATCCCTGCCATATGTTTGGTACTGTACGCTTCTTGTCAGCAAGTATTGTGAAAGAAATCTAATAAACCGGTTGTAACACGGCGTTTTGCGGGTTGTGACAGCAGTCAGCCCAGCACGTCCTGATTGTTCCTTCAACTGTTCCTTCCGGTAAAATATTGTCTGCCGCAACCTTGTGTTTTACGCAGTCAAATACACTTTGGAAATAGGTAGATTACATTAATCCGTCGGCCAATGGGGTGCTGCCTTCCCGCCACGTTACTTCCCCCTGGCCAATGCAACTCGAACAGCTCGTCACGTGACCGGTCACATGACCTCGTGCTGGTTCAGCATTTGTCATCGAGTTTAACAGTTAACAGAGCTGAGTCCGCTGCAGCTCGGCACTAGGTTACTATAAGTATAAAGCATATGTGTCCGCTGTGTATGATATAGCAGCGTGTGTGTGTGTGTGTCAGGAGAATTGTGGTATTTTGTGGTGTAGATATTTTGTAGAGCTTCTTCCTCATTCTTTGAGCGGCGATCTTCCTCGTTAGATTGTCACGGTTACCTTCAGTATTTGTAGGTGTCCGTTACCATAGTAACGTTCGTGTACTTTGTATGACAGTTTAGAGAACTCCGCGTGAAAGTTGATGTGAGTTTTCTGAGAATTGAGAGTCAGTTTCGTGTTATAAATATTGTTTTGTGAGATGTGATTGACATGGTTTGTTAATTATAGATTGTCACGCCTTGTCTCCCAGGACATCTGTTTGATGGTTTGTGAGATAACCTCAGGATGTAGAAACTTTTAATGATATTATGATGTGTTTGACAATATTTGCTTGTGTTTCAGGAGCAGTAACGATGACGACGCAAGTTAACGAAGATGAAAGACAGTGCTACCTTGATGATGTGATCAGGTCCGTGTCTTCTCTTCGCCCTCGTGGGACTTCCCATTTTTATAGCAATAATGATAATCGTTTTATTTTTTAAAACCGTCTTTTTAAAATGTTTACTAACAGTAAATAGTAATACTATAAATACTTGACCACTTTCCAGTTTTCCCGTTTTCATTTTATTTTTGCGTTGCTGAGAAAATCTCAATGTTACATTCTAATCAGTGGGTCACTCTGTTTTAAGGTTCTTTATTAGTCTAACATTAACCTCCTAGTGAAAATGTGGGCTGGATCCGTATCCAGGAGAAGACTTTTAAGAGATGGATGAACGAGCACCTGAAGCACAGGAAACTGGAAGTTGAGGACATCACAGAGGATCTCAACGATGGTCTGGCTCTCATCAACTTGTTGGAGGTCCTATCTCACAAGTCTATCGGCAGGTTTGTATTTTATTTGTCTATTTTCCTTTGTCATGTTCTCCTTTCACTTTGTCATTCAACTATGATACGAAAGTGTTACCAATCAGTTGAGCTCTTGGTTAATGATTTCCACTAAGCATATCGAAACGGTATAAGTCGTGCAGTAATGTTCAGGTTCTTTGTTTTGCCGATTGTAGGCTTCTTATTATTTTTCAAGGTTTCACCCCTCGTTAAGGTTACTGAGATCACACATGCTAGAATAAGACTTGTCTTGTTAATATTAGACAGGCTGTCCCTGTTCAATTATATATGGAGTCTTGGCAGCTTCGCCCATTAGGGGAAGAGAATCAGAGAAACCCTAGTCCTTACATTCTACTGCTTTTACATAGGATCAACATATTTATATCTCTAAGAGGGACAGGAGCTAATGTAACGATACTACAGGACAAAACATTTTGTCTCTATAATCTGAAATGAGGGAATGATAATCAATCATGCGCTCACTCTATCAGTATATAGTCTCGCCACCATGTTATTCTGTAGCTATCATGTCATCACGTGATTAATACACCCCTCACGAACACCCACCAGGTTCACCAATCTTTCTAATATGTTGAAAAGGCAGTTGAACAACCGGGTACCTCTAGCATCGAGAGCACCCTGCAATATATTCCATAACTCCTGTCGAGTCTTATAAGTCGAACTATGTTGGGGGTGTTGACAGCTTAGGAAACGTGCGAAAGTTTTTCTTATAACATTGAATTTTATATCCACCTCGGCATACACTGGCTCGGTGGTCTGGTGGCTGTGTCCCTGAACCTAGTCACACTTACACCTACAGTCTCTGGTATTTGCAGTGGAGGTTGGGTTTGGTATGTCACCTGAATTACACTTCAGGTTTACAGGACAACTTTCATGTGTATGTAGAGCTGTAAAGTTTGCGGCGAATAGTTCGCTGTACGTTCTAAGTTTTGAGAGCCTTCTAGAAAATTCTAATCGCATACGGCGAACCAGGCCATACCATCCTCAGTGCTGCATTGAGTCAGTGCGCCATCTGCTAAAACCAGGCATCATCACATAACTCGACCAACATAATGATTTCATCGATCAAAATACAACCTACAACCTAGACCTGTTAAAATAGTCTATTAACATTCCCGCGGTCAGCTCGAACCAATCTGATAGTATTAGTAGGTATTTACCCTGGTTTTACCACATCTCTACCCCCAGGAACTACACTAAGAAGCCCCGTATTAACGCGCAGAAGATGGAAAACATCGTAGCCACCTTCAACTTCATGAAGGGTGAGGGTATCAAGATAGTGAACATTGACAGTACTGATATCATGCAGGGCAACATGAAGCTGACTCTCGGGCTAATCTGGACGCTTATCTTCAACTACCAGGTCGGAAATAAACCCTTAGTTAGTGTGGTTAATGTACTAACTTTTAAAACTCGTTAACATTGTGATGATTTTACTGGATAGTTCTGATGTATCCACCAACCCCCTGAACAGCTATTCTGTATGTATGCTCTGTATAGTTACCCGCGCTAAGTACTGTGATACTGTTAACACCTGCTATAATATTGTGTGGTTACACGCGCAGTGATGTGCAGTCAACCAATGTTAGCTAATATAGGGTTAGGGAGTGTTAGGGAGTGTTAGGGAGTGTTAGTGAGTGTTAGTGGGTGTTAGTGAGTGTTAGTGAGTGTTGTAGAGAGCAAACTGACATTTCAGCAGACTACTGATTAGAACCACTTTAGATTAAACCACCATTCAATTACTATAAATCAACTAATCAATGATTTACAGAACAACCAATTAAAACGGTGCAATTGTTTTCAGATCGCTGCCAACCTAAAGGACGATAACTCAGGAGGTGGTCCCAAGAAGAAGCTGCTTAACAAAATAAACCAGAAACTCCAGCCAAGTGGCAGAAAAGCTAAAAACTTTACTGGCGACTGGAATGACGGTTAGTTTTAATATTTGCTTGCTTGCTTGGTAGTTTCTCTAGTCTTTACGGTTCTCTACTCTGGTAACTCAAGGGCCTTAATGAACGACGCAAATTAAATATATTTGTCTTGGTGAACACATACCCTCCCTCTACAAAACCACACTATAGCAGCTCCATTAGTTGCAGTAAGTAAAATACGGCTTCACATGATCGTGCTTCCTTTTGCTTACTATGTAGTACCAATGAAGCCATGCGTCACATCCGGGTACAGTAATTACTGAAGAGATAGGAGGAAAACCAACATCACTCTACATTTGCTACAATCTACATAGTCTTATCTCAGTTTACCCAATATATCACACACTGATGTATTTTGTATTCCCCCTCCTCCTCCCATTGTTTAACCCACCCTCTCTCCAGGAACTCTGTTAGCATGTCTGGTAAACTGTATCGCTCCTGGCTTGATCCCCAATTACACCATCCTCAACCCTGATGATAAGGTCGAGAATATAAAGATGGCTATGGATCTGGCTGAGACTTGGCTTGGTGTACCCAAACTCCTGGCTCCTGAAGACATGGCTAGCACTAGTGTAAGTGCTGTGCCTGATTTAACTTGTTCACATCAAATATAATAACATTCCGTACTCTCACTATACACGGAGATGTTTCAATAATACAACTGTAACAAGTAGCTGTGTAAGCTTCCTAGAATATCATATCTCTCCGTATGTACTAACCCGAGATGCACACGTTAATTACTGTGTAGCGTGAAGCAGATATATCTCAGTTAATATCAGAGATACCTATCTGTCTCACTAACCCCACTAAATATCAGAGATACATATCTGCATTCTGATATATAAATACCTCTTAAATCCTAATTGCGCGGCTCACACGTGCCCGTCTCACACGTTCTCTTCTTCACAGGCTGATGACCTCTCAAACATGACATATCTGAGTGGCTTCCTGGACTGCAAGGTCAAAGAGGGTGCCCCTGTGGTCTACCCCAATCGGGTAAGTGGTAACTAAGTGGTAACTAAGTGGTAACTAAGTGGTAACTAAGTGGTAACTAAGTGGTCACTAGGTGGTAACAAAGTAGACACTAACTCCACGGATTTTGAACCCACTCTTACAAAGTTCCCCGTGTTTTTAGGGGGTTGAAATCTCAGGGAACTGGACAGAATCCTATGAATAAGACACTTTGTGACGTAGATGAAACCTTTGGAAAGTACTCAGCATAATATGCTGTGTAATTATCATCTTCACTGCGGTCATCTTACGGTCCTTTCTCTCTTTTTATTAGACAGTATCGGGGGGGGGGGGGGGGGTACAGTATCTAGTTGAAATGATATAACGGGGAATAATCTTTCAATAGCCGGTTAACTGAAAAATTATAGGTCCAAAAGTATTCGATATAAGGGTTATTTTAAGTTTCTATCGCGACAAATTATCGTAGTTTCGCCACCTCTATTTTTATCGTTCTGTGGAATGGAGGGCCTCGCCTAGACTTTTTAAAACAAGACCTTACGAAAGTAGCAAACTTTTGGTAAAAAATGGACTATTTCATAACGGATAACTACAAGCGTGTTTGACACTGTCTCCTAATTCCCGTTCTCTCAGTGCATTGCTCGAGGACCTGGTGTATCAGGAGTCGGTCTCCTGCCCGGTAAACCCGCCACTTTCGAGATAGACGCCAGCAAGTGTGGTGCAGGTGACGTGGTGGTCACAGTGGACGGACCTGAGGGCAGTGACCCAGTTAAAGTGGAGTACTCGGCCGGTGGAGACACTCCTGGGGTCTACACTGGTTCTTACCACCCCAAGGTTAGTAGAAATGAACCCTACAACAATTGTTGCTTGGATTAGTGTTAACCTGGAGCTAAGTTTTAAATCTGTTTTCTTTTAAACTCCTTCAGCTCCTTGATAAAGAGAAGGGACTGTTAGGTGTGGGTGTGACTGAGGTCTGGAGACCTACAGACACTGTTAATGTGCAATGCACATTGCGCATGTGTCATCATATTGCAGGAGGTGTATTGTGGAGACCGTGTCAGTAAGGTGGTGTCTCTACACCAACTATAATATATAATACCCTATCTGTACCTAGCACTGATACTGCTTCAGGACGAGGGAGAGTACACGGTTAACGTTACTTTCTGTGGGGTTGATGTCCCCAAAGCCCCCTTCAAGGTGAAGATCTACAATGATGGACCCCGAAACAAGGTTGATCCTAAGAAGGTGAAGGTTGAGGGACCGGGTCTGACTGGAGATATGATCCTGCCTGACGAGAACGCCTGGTTTAAAATCAACTACCTTGAGGCTGGACCTGCAGAACCAAAAGTGGAGATCGTTGGACCTGACAGGTAATATGTTTTTTGTGTTAAATATGTTTTTTATGTTGAATATTCCTGTATTTTTATGTTAATATTAACTAATATAATATTTGTATATTTAATGGCTGTAAGTTTTGTGGCTGCTCACATGTGGTGGTGTTGATTATTGTGCTAAGGAGTGGTGTATGTAGACAATTACTTAACTGAACTGTAAATAAGTATTAAGTATGACCACAGAAAGTTGCAAAACAACGACTAATATGGTCAGAAACAGTCAGGAGTAAAACTGTTTGATAATGGCATTATTATTATATACCCTAGACACTATTCTATCTTTTAAATAGTAGGTTACTGTTCCTACTTTGAATAATTTGGTACCTAACTATTTTCCGTTCGGATTAATTGACCACAGAAATTATCACATCCTTGTCAACTAATGGCTCAGCACTACACTGCAAAATAGGTGACCTTAACGTTAAATCTCATTCCAGTCAGCCGATAGCCTTCAATGTGGAGCAAGACGGAAAAGGTGAACAGTACGTGTCGTACAAACCACCAAAGTTCGGAATGTACAACGTTGCTGTCAACTTCGGTGGGATGCCCCTGCCCAACTCGCCCTACAAAGTCAAGATCAGTCCCAAAGTTGACGCTTCCAAAGTCAAGGTCGCTGGACTTGGTAAGAGTGAATACCAGTGTTGGATTGGCCTTTTACAACAACAATTAGTTAAAACTTAAAACCTAATAAGTTGTACCATACTAATCAACCTTTTCAATATTACCAAAACCCAATTAACTACCCTAACTATCTCAGATGCTGTTTTGTCTAGCTTAAATCTAAATATCCTAATTCCCTTCTTACAGGTCACAAACGTGTAGTAGGTACCAAATGCACTCAAATGCAATTTTAAATGCACTTTACGAAAACATCCCAATCGATACTTAAACAGTTTAAGTTCTCCAAACTGCAACCAACTGCACTAATATTTGACTTCAGTCTCAGACTATAAGCCAGCTGCAACCTTCTTTCACGCAAATCCTCATAATATCACAATTGTATTAGATAGCAAGGAATTTCACTTATATCCCTCACATCTTACCACAAAACCCAGCATTCTCTATCATACAGCATCATATCTTACTGCATTCATATCTATCACGATACGTAGAATCTTTGTCACAGTTAAAGATACGGATATTTGTCCAAGTTAAAGTCGTTCCGCCGAACTTATGCATTTTTCTTTCTGTCATCACCCACAACATCCGAAATATTTTTCAACATGTTTTGAACATATCACTAGTTCTAGAAAAATCGTTTTTACATGCCCATTCTTACGCTCCTTGCATCCAAACAGAACAATGAAATGAATACTGGACAACCAAAATATTACGCTCTTTCGTAACGGTTATAAAAGCTGGCCATATATCTGCGTTCCACAAATATTCACATAATTCCACAATTTGCATGCTTCCCAACGGGTAATGACGTTGGAATGTCCCCTCCAGTGAAGCGAGTTTTAACCCCTCTTACTACCTTACTGTTTAAAACAGTTCACCCTGTAACACGTTTCATGTTGCAGCTCAGATTGTTAGAATCGGTGACAGTCCCGTCTTCAATATCGATACAACAACTGCTGGAGAAGGCAAGATGGAAGCTCAAGTTGTGTCTCCTAGCGGCAAGGTACCGCTCACACGCTCAATTATTAATCATGGAAATTAACGAATTTAGAACAATCCTACTGTATAATTTCTTGAACTGAGAAGAAGTGATCCCTTCTAATAAACCTGTTCTCCAACAGTTATTGGACTTCGTGTTAGATGATGATGATGCAGGACACCATACCCTCAAGATAAACCCCAGCGAGATGGGTACACATACCATCAGCTTGGTCTACGGCAAGGTGAGGCGTCTTCCTTCTAAACTCCTATCAATTTCAGATATCCAATTATTACAAATGTCACTTTAATATGAGAGGTCTCGTAACAACGCTAATATTCCACTTGATTTATAATAACATTAACTATTACATGTAATTTTGCAGGTTCCTGTACCCCACGGCCCATTCAGTGTCAAAGTAAGGCCAGAGAGTGAGCCAGACAAAGTCAAGGTTCAGATCGAGAATTCGGTTATCCGCCTCGGAGAGCCCACTAAGTTCAAGATCGATTCCACTGAGGCTGGAAACGGTGATCTCGTAGTCCGAATCTTGGACAGTTTGGGCAATGAAGTGGAAGTCGACCATGATCAAAACGGTTACGGTAAGGTTCTAGCTATCTTAATTCTTGGACACTTGGATGAAGATTGGATTTATAAGAATGGTTTTTTGTATGGGTTTCTGAGTGTTTCTGGTGTGATGGTATCTGCGGTTATCTATGATTATCTTGACATGAATCTTGCTACAAATGTTGTCATGGCTCTAGATAACTCTTGGATGTCTTTTTTCGGCTTTCTGTTTCAATGTCTTGGGCTTAATTTATGTATCCTTTCACGTCCGATGCAGGAAACTGTCGGCATTATTAAGTACTAATTGCGAATAAAGAGGTTTCCTTAGGCCTGGACACGTTCACCTTTACACCGAAGAAGGAGGGTGATTATGTTGTCGATGTGACGTTCGCTGGGGAACCAGTTACCGAAGCAAGGCTCGCAGCCGAACCAAGACTCAAGTTGGACAAACTCAACATCTTTGGAGATGGTCTCAACAGCAACAAACCTCTCAAGGTTAGTGTTCTGGCTTTCTGTTTTTAATACTTTCTCGCCGTTTGAAAATTGAGTCAAAGATCTTTTCTTAATTGCGCGAAAATATTTTTCTTACCACATTGAACAATTTTTAAGTCCAAATTCGTACGTGCAAAGTTTTTAATTTCTCTTAGGTGGGAGAGGAATGCAAGATGACGATAGACGCGAGCCGCGCGATGACTGGAGACATAGTGATCCGAGAGAAGGACCCTAACAAGATGGGCGCTGAAGATCATGCTGATCTGGAGCTCCTGGTGGTCGGTCCTGACGGCCGACCTGTCACTCTGGAGATTGAAGAGAGTGAGCCGGGTGTGTTCAAGGTAACTGGGCCCTTATGTATCTTCTTTTCAACCAATTAAAATCGATTCATTAATGTTAGAATAGATTATGTCGTCAAAGCTATACCAATCGTTCTTACAGACGTATTCCCCCAGGTCGCCTTCACCCCCGACAAAGCTGGTAATTATTTGTTCGTTGCTGAATCTGAAGGAGTGGCTGCTCCCAAATGCCCAATTCCTCTGAAAGCCCGAGGACTTAAATCAGTGAAAGTGTACGGTCCCGGTATTGAGCCATCTGGTAATTTGTGTGGATTTGATACCCACTTTGTCGTGGACGCCCGAGAAGCAGGAGAGGAACAACTCTTCGTGGATATTGTTGGACCCGGAACTGGTGAATTCAAACCAGTACCAACCATCACCGAGCCAAAGAAAGGGTTGTTTAACATCAAGTACGACGTGTCTCTTCATAATAATTACGATGTGAATGTCAAGTATGGCGAAGATTCCCTTAACCAAGGAAAACCGTACAAACCTAAGGTGCACACCCACAGTGTTGGTGCCTTCCCCAGTACTCGCAGAAGGGTCGAGATCCAGATTACACATTTGTCTCTGGAAGCACCTAGCTCGTGCAGTGTTGATGATTACATCGATATCAGGTTGAAATACGCACAAAGGTTCAAGAGTACGGCCAAGGTATGCGGACCTGCCCAACCTCCAACTGTCAAGGTTATTGGCCCAGCTCGTAAATTGGTCGACACCAAGACCTCAGTCAAGGATTCAACATACAAGATCCGCGCTAGTCCTGTGGAAGTAGGAGCTCATAAGGTAGTGGTACGATGTTCGGACAGCGACTTGGTCTACGGCTCTTTCAGCAATATGTTCGAGATCACCAAGTGAGGCACCGTCTAAGTATAGGTGGAAACCTGCGCGTGGTTCATATGTGCTGCGAGCGACAAAACACCGGGGATAAACAAATATTGTTCATCACAAATCTTGGGAAATTGGTTCAATATGTGAACTTCTATTGCAATACACAGACGATAGCACAGAAGCAGCATTGTGTCAACAGAGAATGTAACATGAAGAGACATTTAGGTTTAGACTATTTACGAATTTTATTTTGTTAGATTGAAAACATTGCTTAAAATCGTTGAATATTTTAACTGTAAGTGTAAGGTGTATATTTTGTAATAAAGAATGCGAAAAAAATGTATGACGGTGATAAGATGAATTTGATGTTTGCACTGAAATGATATAATATAAGTTATAATCTTTGTATACTATCCTATTAACCAATCATTAAAGACTGAGAGCAATGTTTCCATTAGTTTTGTCTGCTGATGTTCGTTAGTGGATTTTAAGTGGTCACGGGGTAAACTATGGGCATGGCAATGGCATGGCAATGGAGAATTACTCAAGGGTCTTTCAAATTTCTCCATAGAAAATTTCTCCATTTTATGCCATCTTATGCTATTTAAAAACTTAAAAATTTAAAAAACGCCATTTTTTACCAAATTTTGACCTTTAAGGACGAACTAATTTAAACAGAATATTCATCTAGAATCTAATATCATTTCGAACACCAAAAAGACAATTTTTGCCCTTTCAATTTTATCGCATTTCGACCTTCAACAATTTTCCAGCTCGAACACAAGGGTCCCCCCTTGTATAAATTTTGTAAAAATTGTAAAATAATTTGTTTTTCAAATATCACAATTTTGGTACTAAACGTTTTGCCTTTCCAATCTGAAAACAATCCTGTAAAAATATTTCCGACATTTATAAGTTTTCATGTTTTCTATCCCGAATTCGAAGTCCCCAAATCACCCTCTATATACGATCTTGGAGTCGAGGCTTACCCTTTGTAATGCCATATCGGACGGCAGGCCTCCCCTATGCAATACGAGTTCGGAAGCGGGAGCCCTGCCTTCAGAGGAACGTATCGAGAATCGGAGAATGACTCGGACCGAAAAAAAATTGTCTCGGTAAGTCAAAATCAATTTCAAAGTTTTTCTGGAAACTACTTTTGTCCACGATTCCTGCTACCGGTACCCTGATCATTATTAGCCGAAAATATTTTTTCGATTTTCAAGGTACGCGTACGGACCTCTGACCTACCCTTCGATATACAATTTTGGAATCGAGGTATTGGGGGTTATTTTGGAACCTTGTAGTTGTAATGCGATCTCGGAAGGTAGGCCTCCCCTTTGCAGTGCGAGCTCGGAAGCGGGAGGTAAGGTACGTATCGAGGATGATGATTAATTGCACTATACACTCGACTGTCACGTGACTTTTTCAACCCGTTCTCTAGCTGACCCTGAACGACTATTCGAAACCCTAACCCTCTAATCTGATCCAAACCCTAACCCTAACTGCTAACCGAATCTTTAACAAAATTGACCATTGTTAATGATCTGGCCCGGCGCGCGCTACTTCGTAGCACTTGCCATCTAGAAGAAAGCGGCGCGCGCTACTTCGAAGAAATTTAGATGAGTAACATCCGTCAATAACAAAAGCATATGCTGAAACCCTAACCCTAACGAGAAATTAGACTAACTTCCTTATTATACGGTCATATCACGTGACCGAGACAGTTTTTCGCCAATATTTTTATCTTTAACTTTTCAAACAATACATAATTATACAGAATTTAATGCTTCTAAATAAACCCAGTTATAAAAGGAAAAAACCGATATAGCCCTAATTTTCACTATCCCAGAATATCGAAACCCAAATTATGTATTGAAAGAGGGGTAACCAAAACACGGTAGTGTGCAGTAAGAAATACCACACCCGCAATAACATTGGGCCCTAGCAACAATTAATTAATCAATGAATCAAAACATATAATATTGTACTTATAGAAAATATAAAACTCTCAAGGCTCCTTCTCCGAGCTAATGACTCTAAAGTTCCTGATAACATGAACTTTGTCCGGCTCTGCTGTCCTTTTATTGAGTAGCTGGACGACAACTTTCTTGTAGGCTATTCTGTCTGCAGCTGATCTATCAGGAGTTATGTAGACAGAAGTACACCCCTCTACATGTCTTAATAACTTAGTCTTGCTCAAGATGGTACGAGCTTGATCTGAGCTTGACAAAGTGAATTTAACTGGTCTGACTCGTTCACTTGTGTCCTTTCCAATTCTATTACATCTCAGAATTTTCGGTTTTTCGTTGAGATGGTCCAACAAAATACCAGATACCTTAGCATCCAGGTTCTCCTCAGTCTCTGGAAGCCCAAAGATAATCAGACTTTTGCTTCGATCTTCTTCTAGGGCAACCCTTTTCACCGCAGCTTGGATCTTCTTCGGTGCAAAGGCGTTTTTGCACGTGTTTTTCAGCACAGACGAAAAGGTCTTCATCTCTTTCTGAGCTGCACTTTTCACAGTTCCGATCTCATCATCTTTCTTCAAGGCTAACTTCTCCTGCAAATCACTGATTTTTGCCATATCTTCTTCTTGCTTAGAGAGTAACTTCTCTTGTAGTTCTATGATTTTCGTCGCATCTTCTATTTTTTCTTTCCTGAACTTTCGGTTGTCTTCAGCTGTTTCTGTGGCGGATTGTAACAATGGACCACAATAATTGTCCAGCAAACAGCACACTGTCTCTAACCATTCTGATAACCTCTCTCTAGGCACACTTCTCTGGTTCAGTTTGTCAACTTGCACATCATCGTTGTGTTCGACACCGATTTTACTTCTAATCTCCTTGAAAATACTGTCAGTTGCCATGTGTATCTGATTCACATACTCCGTAAGGAACTGGCCATTCACAACCATAGCATCATCTACCATATCCAAGTGTTCATTCTGTAGCGGAAAAGGCTCAGGCATCGTACACGTTGTACAGAAAATGTACAAACAATGTATACAAATCTACAAAGCCAGAGAGAGATAATTCAACGCGCACACACAAAACTGCTGATAAGAGAGCTACAATTTTTCTCGTCAGGGGGGCATTTTAACCCTGTCCCTATGTCATGGTACGTATAATGGGGGGTGATTCGGAATCAGCGTCCGAAAATACATCGATCAAGATTGGTTTCAACTGTCGGGGGCCCTTGTAGAACAATCTCGAAGATCGACTTTAAAGTGATCTATTAGCACGCTCGACGTATCGAGGATGACTCGGACCGAAAATTGTCAACAATGTTAAAAGTTTTTAGGTAAACATTTTTCCTGGAAATCACTTTTCTCCAGTCACCAGTGTTTATGTTACTTTGATCATTATGAGCCGAAAATGTTTTTCGGGACCTAACCCTCGAGAATGTTTACTTAAAATTAGTGAAATTTTTGATTGATATTCGGCCAATTCACAATTACTTTTTTAACTACGGCACCCGACTATCATGATTATGGATTACCATATTTCGCGTTCGATATAAGCACACACGCGCGCGCTATATCACGCGCACGTGACTTAAACATTAACGGGTGATACTCTTAAAAACATTGGTTATCTTTATATCCAATGAGAAATACAAATTAGCGCGCTTTTCCTATAATCCATGGCGAGTGAATTAGTGAAACCGGTTTTTACGACCCCAGCCAGTCCCTTTTTTTGTTGACAAAATTTTTTAGTTTCTTTTAGTATTTTAAACTTGAAATTTGACTTAATTGGTGGCGATTTATGATTTGTCAAAGTGAAAGTTTTTATTTGAAATCTTGATTGACGGTGTCAACCCATCGAGATCTTTGCTCTGCGAAGCAAGAATGCTAGTTTGCGCGGCGCGTCGAAGCCCTCCGAATGAAATCGAAAATTTTTAAAATGCGCGTTGGTTACGGCCCATGAAACCTTACTGGTAGGAGCCTAACTTTGAAAGTAAAAGAGATAATTATCAATTATAAATACTTCCGGTTTTTAGCAAAATGATCGCCCTGTAAAATAAAATAAAGTTTCCTTCCCAGGATTTTCCTAGGAGAAAAATTAGGGACATCGTCAATCGTAGATTTGAGTTATCCCAAAAAGTATGATTTTGGGCCGAATAAAAGGTCGCAGCTTTATAGTTTATAATTTTGTTAATTAATGTGGTTGCCATGACTCCATGGATAAATTTAGATTGTAACACGCGTGCAGAGCAGCGATGAGCGAGCTTTACGTCACTTAACTTCACATGGCCATGTGTCTACGCGTACTGCGTGACGCGCTTGTTTCACTTCGGCGGTCGCGCGCTACTGCAAGTGAGAGGGCTCTGGTTAGAGCAATCACTTAACGGGTGATACTCGTAAAATATCTGTTCCATATATTGGACCGTCGACGAGTCCAACTCGGCGTGCGTCCTGGTAGGTTGTAAACCTACAATACGTCACGCGCGACGACAAACAGGCAACTGCAGCTACTATATTGCATATTGAAAAATTAACACGGCCAGGCCAGTTAGGTTTTTTGGGTTGACATGACCAGTGACCTAATTAAATCAAGCTTTCTATTCAAATTAAATTGTTTTATCGACATTTTGCATGCTACGTTCACATAGCCATGTGTCTACGCGTACTGCGTGACGCGCTTGTTTCACAAGTAGAAATCGTCAAGTCAGTAATGTAAGCTGCAGTTGCTCCAAAATAAAAAATGTTGATGTATTAATATAACTAGCAGCTCGGCGAGGCCCAGTGGTGCATTTTGCCTTGCTCTATCCAGAGCCCTTGCGCTTGCAGTAGCGCGCGCCCGCCTCACGGCGGTAAAAAGGGCTCTAGCCATGAACACACCCAACGATTTCGGCACCACTGTACAGTGGTGCCAAAATTACCCGCGCTTTTGTCCTCATATCCGACGCCGCGCGTGTCGTTTTAGTCATTTCACCATTTGTTAGCCGCTTTGAATGATTTGTGTTCGAACATTTTAGGTGAACATTTTGCCGATCTACGGCGAGAAGAATTATTTGATGCGCGGCGCGGCCCAGTAGTGCATCTCGCTACACAATGTCATATTCATTATTCACCTAACCATGTGCTTTCGCGCCACTTCGGGCGCGCTTGTTTCACAAGTCAAGAAAAGCACCTATCCACGCGCGAACCCCGATGGGAAGGTTCGTGCGCGCGTGCGCAGTGCTGACAACAGCGTCTATGTAGCGCAGGTAGTCCTGGCACTTCTCCCTCCAGTATGCAGTAACCACTTTTCAGGTTTCTATAGTGCATAGTGACCGTGTGCTATCAGGCTTCTTTATGACTCATCGTTCTCTCGTGTCCAGACCATCGACGGCCTTACTGACTTTTTTAGGACACTTATTGGAGTTCTCCAAGGGGACACTCTAGCACCCTTTCTCTTCATCATCGTCCTTGACTATGTCCTCAGAAGCTGCATGGGTGAAG